AAGAGTGAGCAACCGATAGCTCCAAAGGGCAGATCTAAGCACCTCATGGGCCTTGAGTTTGACACTACTGATCTACATCTCATAACAGAGGGTATGGTGAAGATCTGTGTGCCTCACTAGCCATAAACCCCACTGCACGTCACTGTAGTGACCCCATAGATTGTAATACAGGTTTCAGGGTTCCAAGTAATAGTGAGCAAAACTCTGAGGCAGATGAATTCCTTAAAGAATAGCTTTATTGGATATATCATATTGGCACAACCTGGTGAAAACCAACTCTGAAAGTTCCCGCGGTTTTCACCTAATGAAAAGTAAACTTTTGTCCATCAACCCCAAACAATCAGTCACAAGGTTCAATCAAGGCGCTGTCTGATTGCCTGGTGACATCACTCCTCCTTCCTCCAGTCAGGTATGAGAATGTCCTTGGTTCCCAAGAGGAAGTATTTCATTTTGACTACACAACCCCGGCTATCTCTAATCCCTGGTCCCTATTCCTCAGCTCCAGTGTGGCATCACTGAAGCTCCAAGATGGCTTCAGGCAGGTGAGCTTCATGGTTGAAAACAGGTAGTCCTCGACTTATGACCACAACTGATTTTGCAGCCAGTCATTGTGGAACTGAGCAATCACTTCTTATGGGAGCAGGCTGTGGTGTGAGTAAGTGCTTCTCTGCAGGAGCGACAGAGAGGGCCTCATGTTCAAAAAGCCAAGTGGCAGTCGTGGCTAGGAGAGTTTTTTCCACAACTTCACGGTGTGCACCAGTCACTCATGCCCTGGTCATTTTGCACTTGGACTACTGCTATGAGCTCTACAAGGGGCTACCCTTGGAAGACATTTTGGAAGCTACACTTTGCAAAAAATGCAGCAATTCGAACAATTCTTGGTGGCCCTAGGGTGGCCCATGTAAGACCTCTGTTGTGCTAGTCACAGTGGCTGCCGATTTCTTTCCAGATCCAATTCAAGGTGTTGATTATTACTTTTAAAGCCCCACCTGGCATGGGTTCAGGCTATCCGAGGAACTATCTTACCCCAATGGGACTGGTCTGGTCAACAGCCAGAAAAGCTAAGGTAGAATCAAAATCTCATTAAGTATTAGTACTGCTTTGGAAAGCCTTAGTAAGACCAGACTTGGAGTATACTGCATCCAGTTTTGGTCACCACATTACAAACAAGATGTTGCAACTTTGGAAAAAGTACAAAGAAAATCAGTTAAGGTGATTAAAGGCCTGAAGGCTAAAACATTTGAAGAACGGTTGCAGGATTTGGGTTTGGCCAGTCTAGAGAAAAGAAGGAAAAGCGGGACATGATATTTGTATTTGTATTTATTTGGTTTGTATGCAGCCCAATCTCGGAAGACTCAGACTCATGATAGTATTAGCAATAGCACTTAGACTTATATTACCGCTTCATAGTGCTTTTACAGCACCCTCTAAGTGGTTTACAGAGTCAGCCTCTTGCCCCCAACAATCTGGGTCCTCATTTTACCCATCTCAGAAGGATGGAAAGCTGAGTCAACCTTGGGCTGGTGAGATTTGAACTGCTGAACAGCAGCTAGCAGTCAGCTGAAGTAGCCTGCTGTACTGCACTCTAACCCCTGCACCACCTCGGCTCTTTCGAGAGGCAGCCATGAAGAGAAGGGGGTCAACTTATTTTCCAAAGCACCAGAGGGCAGGACAAGAAACAATGGATGGAAACTAATCAAGGACCTGGAATTAGGGAGAAACTTCTTAACAGTGAGGACAATTAACCAGTGGAATAGTTTATTTTCAGAGATTAGGTGCTTCATCGCTGGAGGCTTTTAAGAAGACACTGGACAGCCACTTGTCTGAAATGATATATAGGATCTCCTGCTTGGGAATGGGGCTGTAAGGTCTCTTCCAGCTCTATTCTGATTCTGATTCTGGTCCACTTGGGAGGTCAGAAGGGGCATAACGCAGATCCTGTCAACCAAGGAAATGCATCCGGCAGGCTCCAGGAGAAGAGACTCCCACCAGGGGTGGTATTTACTTACCTTCCCTACTGATTTGCGAATGTGAGCGTGTGCGCGAACTCACTCCACTCACCCATGCCACCTCCATGCATGCGCTAAGCCTTCCACGTATGCGCTTTGGGCTAAAAAGGGGCCTAAATGGGATGCCATAGAGCTGGGGTGGGTGGGTGGGCGGGGCCACCCACAATTTCCGCTACCAGTTTGGGAGAACCGGTCAGAACTGGTAGAATACCACCTCTGACTCCCACCCTTTGGAATTTCACACCCCTAGAAATGAGGTCTGTCCCCAGCCTCTTGGTCTTCTGTAAGGGCCTAAACTTGGCTCTGACAATTGGCATGGGACTCAGAGGGAAGTTCCATTTCCAAAGATAGCTAGTCGATTAGATAAGATCCCACCTCACCCTAGTTAGGCACTGATCCTTTATTTAAGTTATTGTTGATGTTAACCGTATATATTTGCTTTTCTGATTTACAACCCACCTTTCTTGGTACAACTTGAGAGTGAGTTAATTATTACTTAATTATGAGTCAATCAAAAGAATGACTCATCTGTGAATGTTTTGATTAAAGTCATGCCACAAAAGTCATCTTATTGTAATCTGAAATCTTATTTTAAGGATGCTGCATTGCATTTTCTACTGAACATCATTTCCAAGACGACCCCCATCCCGTTACAAAAGCATAACAATTTAAATCAAACAATGCAAATAAAGTACGCATTGCTAGCATTCATTACAAACCTTCAGGAAGCCATAAATACAGATTAAATACCAGCCATCTCATTAAAACCATACCTAATTTTGGAGCAAATACTCATCTACCTTTGTCTGGTGTTTTATCTAAATCTTTTTCTAGCTTGTTCTTCCAAGCTAGAACCAACCACCAGGACAAAAAACAATTTTAAAGTATTTTCAGAATAAAAATGACCAAAAGAGGAATAATTAAAGGCCAACCCCCGATTGATTTCCGAGTGAATATGCCAACATTTTAAATGTAACAGAGCTTGTTAATACAAAACAACACTGAACACGTACTATTGCCAAGAGATTCTTTGGAGTGGGATTGCTTGAAAAAGCTGACTTTTTACACCTCTCCAGACCAGTGGTGGGATTCAAATAATTTAACAACCGGTTCTCTGCCCTAATGATTTTTTTCAACAATCAGTTCACCAAACAGCTCAGAAAGTTAACAACTGGTTCTCCCCAAATGATGGAGGTGCGAACTGGCTGAATCCCACCACTGCCAGAGCCTCTACAGTAGCATATTTTTGTTGCTTTGTTCATCTAAAAATAATTTCTAAATACTTTCAAAGCAGTTAAATAGGATTACATCTTCCTTCCCCTGTCCTCATCACTTTCTATAGAGGGACGATTAGAGCACCCTGTCATATTGCATTACTGCTTGGTTTGGAAGCCTTACTGCTTCAGACAGGACGGTGGTGCAGAGAGTGGTCAGGATGGCAGAAACTATTATTGGCAGTTCACTTCTGTCTATCCAGGATATAGCATACAAGTGATGCTTGACCAGGGTCTGCAGGATTGTCCGGGCTGCTACACATTCTGTTCATGACCTGTTTTACTTGTTACCTTCTGGAAGGAGGATTCATGGTATCTGAAGCAGAACATCCAGATTCAGTCACAGTTTTGTTCCATATAGTATCAACCTTGTGAACTCTCAAGCTTTCTCTTTCCAATATGTATTCAAGATGGACAGTAATTCCACACCACCGTATTTTTTGGAGTATAAGATGCACCTTTACCCCCCAAAAGAGGGTGAAAATTTGGGTGTGCGTTATACACCAAATGTAGCTCCACCTCCCTCCCCCCAGGCCAAAAATGCGAGGCATGGAGGCAGTGATAGTCTGTGGCAATCCCTGCAGCCTAGAACAACTGATTGGGGGTATTCCGGCAGTCCGATTCACCTGCCAATCAGCTGTGCTGAATCAGGCTGCAATAAGTGCTGAAGCTGACCTGGCTGGTGAGAGTGCAGCAACAATCACTTTCAGAAATCACACACTAGTAACTAATTCAGCAGGATTCAAAATAATAATAATATACAATACAATACCAAAAGCAGGTTTCCTAAGATAGCAGTAAATACAAGCAAAACACAAGGAGTTTCACTTTCAGTTCTCAGCTAAGTCAGGCTCCTTCCTGTTTCCTTGTTGCTCACACAGAAAATTCTCTTTCAGAGTCTAAATAGCCCTCATTGGCTGACTTAGTTGCTATGCCTAGTCATTGGCTGACCGATGAACTCTCACACACTGATAGGAAGTTAGTCAGCTGAATATCATGGACGCGGGTAGGCAGAATTTTTCTTCTTCTCACACACACACACACACACACACACACACACACACAGACACACACCTATGTATATAGCATGTGTATATGCATATGTAAGGGTACACTTTCAAGAGCAGGCAACAGAATTTCATAGTTAATGTGTGCCAGTTTAACCACAGTAAAAAAAATATATCAATAAAGGTTATCTACCTATTATTTCCCACAAAATCAAACCATTTGGTTTTAGCTCAACAAGACGCAGACTGTTTTACCAAGCCACTTATTGAAAGAAAAACAAGTGAGAAGATCTTGCATTTGAAGAGCAGCTTCCCAAATTCCCGAGACTGGAGGGGAATGGCTTGGTGGATGGTGAAAACTTTCATGCTGTATCGTGGCTAAGAGCAGGGGCCATCAGTTCCACTGATTCCCGCTCCACTGTTTTTTCAGGAGATGTTTGAGAAGTTTTTNAGTCTCTGTCTCCTAGTGATTGGCCAAAAGTCACCCAGGTGGCTTTCACGCCAAAGGCGGGACTAGAACTCTCCATCTCCTGGTGATTGGCCCAAAGTCGGCCAGCATATCAAGAAAGCATGCTAGCTGGGGAATTCTGGGAGTTGAAGTCCACCCATCTTGCCACGTCGCTCTAGAATCTCACAGAAGGAGGGTGGGGGGCTGTCCTGTTCTGAATCCCCTGCTTTGTCTTCCCTCCTCAGGCCACGTGGACCCCGGGGAAGATGACCTTCGCACAGCCCTGCGAGAGACCCAGGAAGAGGCTGGGCTGACCTCCGCCCAGTTCACCCTCCTGGAAGGCTTTAAGAAGGAACTGAATTACGTCGTCAGAGGCAAACCCAAAACGGTGGTCTACTGGCTGGCCGAGCTGAAGGACCAGGACACGGAGGTCAAGCTTTCTTCAGAGCACCAGGCCTTCCGCTGGCTGACCCTCACTGAGGCCTGCAGACTTGCCGAGTACGAGGACATGCAAGGCACCCTCCGAGAGGCTCATCTCTTCCTCTCTGCCAAAGAATAAACTTCCTCCCGCGGGAATATTTGGGGAGATGTTTCACTGCTGTTCTTTCAAGTCTTATGAGCAACATTTCTCAACTTCGGCCCCTTAAAGGTGTGTGGACTTCAGCGCCCAGAATTCCGAGTTTGGTTGTTTCCTTGCAGACGTTTCACCATCCAACTAGGTAACATCATCAGTGCTAAGGAGGTTGAGGTTTGCTCCCAGCTTATGCAGGATAAGCTCCTGTGTATAAATAGAGAGCAAACCCTTCTTCCTTGTAGCGTTGATGATGTTCCCTACTTGGGTCACGAGACGCCTGCAAGAAAACAAGGAGGGCCAGAAAACACCAAGGACCCTACAATCTTTCCTCCTCCAACCTCTCTTCCTTCTAGCACTGATGATGTTCCCTAGTTGGGTCGTGAAACGTCTGCAAGAAAGCAACCAAGCTCAGAGGGCACTAAGGACCCCCACAGTCCTTTTCTTCCTCCTCTATGAAAACCCCCACTCCCTTTAGCCCTGATAATGTTCCCTAGTTGGGTCGTGAAACGTCTGCAAGAAAACCAGCAAGCTCAGAGGGGACTAAGGACCCATAGTCCTTTTCTTCCTCCTCCTGCACTTCAAGCCCTGATAATGTTCTCTAGTTGGGCCATGAAACATCTGCATGAAAACAACCAATTTCAGAGAGCACCAAACACTCCACATTTTCCTCCTCCTCTCCACAACCCCCTCTTCCTTCCACCACTGCTGATGAGGTTCCCTAGTTGGGTCGTGAAACGTCTGCAGGAAAAAAAAACAAGCTCAGAGGGTACCAAAGACCCCTCAATCCCCCTCCAGCCCCTCTGCCTGTTAGCCCTGATGATGATGTTTCCTAGTTGGGTCACATCTCCAAGAAAACAACCAGGCTCCCAGAGCATCAAGGAGCCCACATTCTGGGAGTTAGTGCATACCTCCGGAAGGTGCCACGTGGAGGAAGGCCTACCCAGAAATGGACTTTCTGAGTTCACCCCAAAAAGCTCTTACAGGTGAACTCTGATTCTTGCTCTGTCCATTTGCTAGGACCTCTGGGTGAGGTCCTAGGCAGAAGGTCCCTCAAAGGACCTGCCTCCTGTGGTAGAAGCTCCAGGATAAGCTGGGATCAATGACAGGAGATGATGCCACGTCTCTCTTCTGTTGTGGCCCAGCAGGAGCCGTTGGAGCTGCCACCAGACTCCGACAGCGAGGGGCCCTATGAGTCGGCTCTGGAGGATGTGGAGGACCTTGG